GTATGGGTCCCACTGTCGGGGAGAAAATTGCTTCAAAGCAAAGTAAAACAGGTGGTAGTAGCTTATGGTCTTTGCCTTGGGATTTTTCTTTTCTTTTATTTTCTTGAAAAAAAAAATTATTTAAATAAATAATTTGTTTTTTCTTGTTTTGTTTCTTAATTTTGTTTGGTTGTGGCAGTTGATACTTCCACTTGTAATTTAATCTTTTTGACTAGAATAACCAAATACCTTGACATTTGCAAGCATGTGGCTTAGGATGATATTATTGACTCTAAGATTGATATTGAGTTTGACTGGTTTGTTAAATAAGTTTAAGTTAAGTTGTTATTAATTTGAATAATATTTAATGAATTACTTGGTTTGTTACCATTTTTTTGGGTTAATTTAGCTCACTATCAAATACCAACCCTTAATAATAATTGTAAAGGTTAGAATGTTGTTTTTGGATCTTAGTAACAAGTAAGGTGTATAAATAATGACAAAATATTAAAAAATTTCCAAAGTTCATCATGTTAGTATAAAATAAAATTAATGTGTCACGAACTAGTAATCATTGTAAGAGCACTTTGTAATAGCCATTTAAAAATATTTTGTACTTGACCAAATTAGTTATTAAAAGGTTCTCGGCTCATTTTTTAACTTAAGTTAGATATCACGTCAAATCATGCCTTAATCTTTTTAATTTGTAGGGGGAAAAAATGAAGAAGCATCAGAAGAAAGTTTATTGGGTTTTCCCTTGATTTTTCTTTTTTCCTAACAATGTCTATTTTTTTTTTACCCCTTTGTAACTTGTAAAGCTTATTGGGTTAAGTGTATTTTTATTTAAACTTTAATATTATATGTACAATATTTTTAAGTATAATAATTTTTATAATTTAACACGTATTGAATAAATAAATAATTTACATGTAACTCTTAAATAAAAAATTAATCACAATATATAGTTTTATATTATATAAATTATTATTTTTTTATCTCAATTGCATAATAAGAGGTAATTATTTTTTATTTTATTAAAAATCTCTTATTTTCAATGAGAAGAAATAATCATTGAGTAATTGATCATATTATATAAATTATTGTATGTAATACATTTTTCTTATCCAAATCACATGCGGCAAATGCAATTTACCCAGTAAAGACAAATAGATTCTTACAACATATCTTTCACTTAGCTCTAAAGTGCAAATGAAGTTAACCCTCTTTTTAACCCTTCTTTTGCCAAATTCTTAACAAAAAAAAAAAAAAAACCAAATGCACTTACTGTTTACTGTAAAAGCAAAAACATTCAAAAAGCAGTAATTAGAGCAGATGGGCAATAGCATATCCGAGAGCTGGAACCAGTAAAAAGCAAAAATACATGATTTGGGAAAGGAGAAAGAGAAGGCAGAAAAAGAATAAGCCAATGGGTTATGGTGGATCCCACTTTCAAACCTGTGAAAGTGAAGGCAGTTTCATTTTTTTTCAACCATTCCTCCTACTACTCTTCTCTCTTCTGCTGCTCCACAGCCAACCTTACTAAATTTATTTATAAATATATCTCTCTCTCTTAATTTTCTTGGTTCCTCTTCCCCTCTCTCTAGAAAAATTGTATCTGTGAAAAACTGAAAATAATAAAAAAAAAGGGGAAAGATGGGAACTTTGTATTCTTATGGCCGGGTGAGAGTTTCCAAAGAAAACAAAGTCTTCTCTTTCACAGCTTTCAATCGCAAAAACATGGAAGAAGAATCTAGGGTTTGACAGCACCAAGTCCAACAAGGTCTGTTCTTTGCTATTTTTTTCCATTTTGTTTTTCTGACCCATTTTTCTTCTAATGAGTTAGCTTTAACGGCTTTCTTTCATTGATCCTTACATGGGTTTTCTCCCCCTTTTCAGTGAGGTTTCACGGACTCAGTTCAGTTCAATCTGATCTTCTGGGTCTATGTCTGCTTTGAGAATTGACCCTTTGAGAAGATGAATTCGTTGTAATTCTGTTAAAAAAAGTATTGTTTGGTGTTTGAGATGTGCAAGGTGGTGTCTTGACAACATGGGTTTTCATTTTTTTGGCTTGAAAGAACTGGCATTAGAGTAGATTTCTTTGGTTTTTATGGTCTAGGTTGGTTTTGGTCATTTGGTTTGGGGGAATTAGGGTTTTTTTTTTAGTTTTTGGGATTCATGGAGGAGGTTGAGGAAGCTAACAAGGCAGCTGTAGAGAGCTGTCATAGAGTTTTGACACTATTATCTCAACCCCAAGATCAAGTTCAGTATAGGAATTTGATGTTAGAAACTGGGGAGGCAGTTTTCAGGTTCAAAAGAGTGGTTTCTCTTCTAAATACTGGTTTGGGTCATGCCAGAGTGAGAAAGCTTAGGAGGTTACAGACTCCTCTCCCTCAAAGCATTCTCCTGGATAATCCACACCATCGGACTACAGATTATACATCTAAGAATCTGCAGCTTCTCGGATCCTCTTATCATGAAACATCACAGAAAGAATTGAGCTCACATGCTAAGAGTTCTCTCTATTTGGGGAGTCCATCCCTGGAGCTGAGCTCAAATGGGAAAAACCTTCTTCAACTTGCTCAGCATACGGCATCAGCCCCCCATCATTTCCTCCCGCAACAACAGCAACAACACATGATACGACAGAGGATGCAACTTCAGCAGCAGCAACTGATGCGACAACAGCAGCAACAGCAGCAACTGATGCAACAACAACAGCAGCAGCAGCAAATCAAACAACAAGCTGAAATGATGTTTTACAAGAGCAATAGTGGCATTAACTTGAATTTTGATAGCTCAAGCTGCACACCTACAATGTCATCTACTAGGTCATTTATTTCTTCCTTGAGCATAGATGGTAGTGTGGCTAACCTGGATAGGAGTGCCTTCCATTTGATCGGAGCACCTCGTTCTTCAGATCAGAGTTCACAACAGAAGAAGAAGTGTTCTGCAAGGGGAGAAGACGGTAGTGTCAAATGTGGAAGTAGTGGTAGATGTCACTGCTCAAAGAAGAGGTTAAAATTTTTCTCCTTTCTCTTTCTACAGTTGTGATCTTGTAATAATCATTTGGAATGGATTTCCTTTCCCTCTATATGGAGGGGGCTAGGTTTTGTTCATCCAAATTGCTTAATTTGTTGTGCTTTGTTGACAGGAAACATAGGGTGAAGAGATCAATTAAAGTTCCTGCTATCAGTAACAAGCTTGCTGATATTCCCCCTGATGATTATTCATGGAGGAAGTATGGGCAAAAGCCAATCAAGGGTTCTCCTCACCCAAGGTAAACATGTTGATAAGAATAGAGCTAGATTATGAATATATGGCCCTTAATTTTCCAGTGCTCTGTAGCCTGTACAACCTTGCTTTTAACTTCTACATGTTGATGTGATTTATTGGAACTTTTAAATTCTAATAGGCTAGAGATCTTAAGGTAATTCAGATTTTCTCTTTAATTTGAGAACACTTTGCAGTCTTGTAAAAGATGTAAATGAATAGCTTTGGTTGCCCTGCTTTTACTGCACAGTGAGCGAGTGCATATGCATAAAAGGAGATAAACACAACAGCAGGAGATCTGAGGCAGAAAATTAGGCTTTGTGGCATTAAAATGCTATTTGAAGATTTAATATTGCTTGCTTCCATAATAATTAATATGGAAGATTAAAATGCCCAGGAAATACATAACTATGTTACAATTTAAGCGTGGGCATTTGTGCTTTAACTTGATCAAGTTAAAGCTCTCAGCTGGTTTTTGTGGGATCAAGGGATACAAATATGTTACATCAGCTAACCTCCCTTGAAATGAAATTTTTAAACTTGCTCTTGTTTTCCTGAAATGGATGGTGCCTCACTCCTTTCTTTTGGATGGCATATGAGGAAAATGAACTGAGGTAAGGACAATTACAAGAAGCCAAGAAGACGCTAAAGAGGAAATAATTCTTACTGTCTTGAAACATACATTCCAACTATTGGTTCAAGATTTTGATTCTGTTTTCCCCATTCTTATCTAGGTGACAAAATTACATTTATCATAAGAAGTTTCCTATCTTTTTAATTATCACGTTGTTGCATTTAAAGTTTTTGCCTTTGCTTTCTAAGTTGCTTTTCAAATTACAATTATGCCTTTTAGGCTCTAATTGCAGTTTTCAATTAAGAAAGTTTGTGAATTTCTTTCACATGAACTACTGGAACCTGTCTCAACTTTTGGCTTAGAAAGACTACCTTTGAACTTTTGCAGGGGATACTATAAATGTAGCAGCATGCGAGGTTGTCCTGCGAGGAAGCATGTTGAGAGGTGCTTGGACGACGCAGCTATGCTTATTGTAACCTATGAAGGTGAGCATAATCACCCAAGGATACCTTCACAGTCGGCAAATACATAGATTGCACTGGAAGTTCACTGAGACCTGTTAGCTTTCAATTCATCATCCTAGTTATAGTTGGCTTCCTGTACATATTTTGCATGGTTCAAGCATGGAATTTAAATTAGAGCAGTTTTTTTCGGCTTTGGAGAGTTGACTTTCCCGAGCTTTTCAACAATTTGACAGTAGGCATGAAGCCTAGTGCTAGACCAAAGAAAAATGTAAAATTGGGGTGTCAAATTGTAAGAACTCTTTCATCTTTCATGGTAATTAATGTTTTTATTAGAACAGCAGAACTTTTTTGCATTGAATGAAGAGCATTTTTCAATGCTGCTTGTAGGATCCCTGATTACCCTGGAAAATTTCTCCTAGTTAGGAAATTATTTCCTGTTGATCTGTTAACCGGAGTAGGATGGATTCAGAAGCCAACGTTGTTTCTTTTCGTTTTTCGATTTCTCGCTCCAATTCAGTTCTGCTTGAATTATGACTAGTGCTTTGTGCACTCCCCTCCTAATTTGTTCCCTCTATTTTTTCTTGTTCTTTTTCTTTTTTATTATTGTTTTTTAAAATTGGAAAAAAAGAGTATACTCAGGCCAATTAGACCACAAATGCAGTTAGTATTTCTCTTGAATTATTAGTGCCGTAATATTAGAGAGTCCTAGCAACAGTGCATGTGATGATATAAACAGATGAAGATGGGGCAACATGCTTTGCTTGTCATATTCCAATTCCATAATGAAGCCTAGACTTCTCCCTCTTCCTACCATAACCTGAATTGAAGCTGTAACAGAAATTTTGATAGCACCATAGCTGCACTTCCCTTTCAAAGAACAACTGACGGCAAAGAACTTTGAATGAGGTTGGGACATACTACAAGTAGCCTTGGGTAACAAGTAATATGCAATAAGAGGTGATATAATTGCTTTGACTGGTTAACAATTATTAGTTGAAGATTTGTTATCTTCCAATGAGAAGAAAGGATATGTAATATGTTGATTGCATTATTACCTGAAGAATGTCGAAGTCTGGTTCTTGGCAAGTAGGCTTTCTTAATCTATTTGGGTACCAAGTTGGAAATTTTCAAACTTTAATAAATCTGCCCTATCCCAGGAGTATTCATGAGTCCTGATTTACCAACTTCAGTTCGGTCTCACCAACTTCCTAACCTTCATTCTGCAGTCAATATAGCAAAGGAAACAGCTAAACACCTTGGGTTCCCTCAAGTACCAAGAAATAGTTATTGATTTTTGTTCTTTTTTTGCTTTGGTTTGCACAATATTACTAGCCAAAGGCCCAAAGCAATGGAATGAGCGAAATTTTTAGATCCTCACAAATTAAAGCTATGTATAAATGTTGTGCATCTTGGCGAGGATGCAGCTATGGTGAAGTTGGGCACCTTGGAGAATAAAAGGAGCCCAATTTTTGATATTCACTTATTTTTGGATTTTATGGTTTGGAGGACAAAAAATGGAGAAGCCCAAATTAGAGAGAGAAGGTTAGACCTTGAACGAACGAAATTCTGTGTTTGCCCTGATGGGTTTAAACCTAGTCAAATCATTCTATTATTTGTTGCCATCATCACTTTTCAGCTGAACATACATCAGCCTTCTTTTGGTTCTTCTTTTTTTTTTTTTTGGGAATCCAAAGTCGATAATATTAATTCAAAAACTTCCAGACATTTTAAAGAAAAGAAAAGAAAGAGAAAGAAAGAAAGAAAAAAAGCCCCTCAAGCGAGAACAATTGCAATCCCCCTTCCAATGAATTGAAGTTTAAGAATCCCGGGATCATCACCAGAAACATGTAATTTCCCATAGTACTTCAGAGACATACATGTAGCACCTGGGAGTGGTAGCAAACATGATCCAACAAAGAAAGAGCTAGAAATAACATTTATCTCCCCATTTATGAGAACAACGCAGATTAAATTCAACTTCTTATACTTTCTAATCATAGATTATCATAAGTCATCTTTGTCAAAAAACTTCAAAAACAAATAAAAACAACTCAGCTAAAGATCTGTCAAGACATCAGAACTCAAGTAGGCAACAAAACATTAAACATCTTATCAAAATTCATCTCCAATAACAAAAGCACCCAATGGCATGTGCAGAACCTTCACTTGAGAGGGATAAACCTGGATGAGTGGGTAGCACCAATACCAGGCCTTCCATGCTTGACTGGCTTGTAGGAAATAGAGAATTCAGCAAGGTAATGACCAATCATCTCAGGCTTGATTTCCACTTGATTAAATGTCTTTCCATTATAAACTCCAATAATACTGCCAATCATTTCAGGAACTATGATCATGTTGCGGAGGTGAGTCCTAACTGGCTCAGGTTTCTCACCAGGTGGAGCCTCTCGTTTCTGTCCCATAACATCACAATAATAAGAACACTCAGTGCTCAATATTTTCATTAAAGCAGTCAATAGCACAATGAAGAATCTCATTCAGCAGAATCTCATTTAACAGAAACTCATTACAGCTCACAGCCTTGGGTGTGAAATGGCCAATCAGGTATGGAGGCAAAGGGCAACACATAAGAATCTGAACTTTCAATTTAAGCATGTAGGTTTCCTCATCACAACAGAACAATAGCAAGATTTTAAAACCACACACCAAATAAGCCTGACGGATTAGATGGCATGTGAAATCACTAATTTAAGACAGCAGTCCACTGTTAACAAGAGTGGGAAAAATCCTCTTCGGTCCATCTTGAATCCCTTACTCTAAATAACAATAAGGACCTCTTACTAGTGACCATCATTTTAGATCAGGCATTTACGACAAAAATTAGAACCCAAAGAGAAGAAAATTACAGTTCCCGAAGGATGAAAATTTCCTAGTTGAGAAACTAAAAGAAAGTGAAGCATCAAATCTTTAATACCCTTCCCCGAATCCCAGCACGTTTCTAATGACCACTTCAGGGTAGCATCCCGCAAAATCTAACCATCTGACAAATGAAGAACGCAAGGGGCAACACACCAAATTCCAAATGCCAAATGCCAAAACTTCTCATTAATTCGTTTTCTAAACAAACCCATGACCAAAACAACAAGCTAGCTCTCACAAATGCATAAATACTAAATATCAATCAAATGAAGGTGTCGAATAGATTAGAAACAGCAAAACATATCACTTACAGCCTTGCGCAGCTTCTTGATCAGAGCCATCGGCTTCCGCTTCAAACCTCTCTGGAACCTGAAAGAACAAAAATCATGTTATCAAGAAGCACAAGAAAAAACAATCAAAAATCAGAAAGGCAAAGAGATGATCAATGCAGAGTCACCTTCTCCTAGCGCGAGCATGGAAAAGCTTGACGAGCTCATCGGTGGACATGTCCAAAAGGGCATCCAAATCGACACCTCTGAAACTAAACTTCTTGAACGTCCTCTTCTTCGGTTGCCCTGGAGCGGCAACATCAGCATCAACGTCGGCCTAACAAAGAAACAAAAACAAACACCAAAATTCATGAAGCCAGTGTTTGGATCCCGACAAAGTGAATGAAAAACTCGAATGAAATGGAGAAAATGGAGCTGAGATTGAGATCGGGAGAAGCTATTTTACCATTGCTAGAGTAACTGAGTGAGAGCAGATGGAGGAACAGGGGAGAAGCCGCCGGGGTGAGTCTGTCTGCTTCGTCTAGGGTTTTGAGGATTGGGGGTCTGATGATTTATATGGTGACCGAAAAGGTCACGGGTAATGATTTGGGTCAACCCTTAACCGGAATGGATCCAGTTTATTTTTAGAGAAATTGCAATTTACCCCATTGGATATGGAGCATTTTCACTTCGCTATCTTTTGTTTAAAAGGTTGCAGCCAACCCCTACTGTAGTAACGCTATCTCCGTCAAAAGATAGAGGAGACAAACAATTCAAGCTCTTGACGAACAATTCAAGATTAAATTCTTCAAAGTAAAGCTCTTAACCTTTTGAACTAAGAAAGAAGGCTTGTAAAATAATTGATCAAATTATTGATATATAAGTATTTTATCATCTGTATAATTAAAGTTTGAACTCTCATTATTTTTCTTTTCTCTTTCTCATGAGAGTTTTAATCAATTGACTTACTATATATATATATATATATATAAACTTTTTGAGCCAAATGATCAAGTTGAAACTCACACACTCACACAAGTAATGCTATTGCTCATATAATATATAGATTTTTTAATTTTGCAATACAAGCTATCAGGAATTATTAAATAAGAGTCAACACTTACTATTAAGGATCTAAGATAGCCCAAAAAGAGAGAGAGAGAGAGAAAATATTAAGGTTTTGAGTCTACCTTATCGGATGATTAGTTTTGTGTATTATAAAATGTACAAAATATTGTTACACAATAGATATTGAACTTCAACATACATAAATTTACTTGAACAGAGATCAAACTTAGTACAATCTAACTTGATTTGGGACCACTTAATGATTTTCAAATGGATGGGCTTCCGTTTGTAAAGACCAATTAATTAATACTTCTTGTTCTTGCTTCTTCTTCTCTCCTTTTTAATTTGATTTATTATTTTGCATTTTAAATTACATAAGAGTGCAAAAATAAAGATAGTTATATAAGAAAAAATTCTTAATATCAAAGAAATTTATCCTTTATTTAACAGTTTTTGTTATGCAATTTGAACTATATGACAATTTTTTGTTTTAATTTTAATTGCTAATTTTTCTAAATAAAGATATGATAAGGATGATGGTAGATCTGATAGGAATGCATCAACCTAACTTGTCAAGCTATATGTTCCTTTTTTTTTTCTTTTTTTTTTTTGGGGGGGGGGGTGTGGTGTGGAAAAGCTATGCGTTATTTGGATGTAGTCAAAATGGATTTCTGGATGGCAAAAGTTGTCCTTGTTCATATACAGTGCAACTTGTATTCAGGAAAATTTATTTTCTTCAACTCTCTTCAACAATAGAAAATTTACATGTTAAAAGGTATCTCGTCTCACATAATTATATATTTCTCATTATATATATCAGATGTTCTTTTATATTACATATAAAATTTTTTATATCATGTCATAAGTTTTATGTGCTAAGATATCCTTATTTAGTTGTGTTGTTATTATTATTTTTTATCAAATAATATCATAGATTACAATTAGAAATCACATTATAGCCATGAATACTTTCGTTCATAGCAAAAAGGCCAAAATTAATTGTAATAAGAGAATGTACTATAATACAAAAGATTCATTTATTTTCTAAATAAGTTACAAAAATATGGAGAAAATAGAACATAGGCCATTGACTTGAAGGTGCACCCAAAAACCAACTAGCCAGGATGTGTTATTTGTTTCTGTCTTATGTGGGAAAGAAAATAACTTGTACGAATCCAAACCTACGTACCTTGTTAACTAAGTTGCTTGTGTCACATAAAGTTTAACCTATAACTTTGAATATGCTAATTTATTAGTTTAATTGGTAAATGTATTCCAATCAAGGGATTGATTGTACCTTTATCACGAATTGGTGTAAGATTTTTAAACAAGAATAACAAAACCACCTAATAAGGAACTTTATAATGGATTGGTGAAGATTTTAGAAGCAACAATAATAAATTGAGAGAAAGTATAAGACCTATGGTGTGTGTTTTACTCTTAAAATTTTCTAGCCAACCTTGTAAACTACAACTCACTCCTTTTTATTTTATTTTTATTTATATTTATTTTGAGTTGCATAATATGGGACAACTCTCTCTCATCCTTTAATCTACTTTATCTACTTGTTATGCGACTTAAACTTAAAATCTCTTACTTCTATGAAAAAACTTATCACTAAATCATTTAAGTTGATTACAACTCACTTTTTTTCTCAATTGAATTTGAAAGTAAATGAGAGTTTATAAGTGGAATTTCATGATGTTTTCTTCACCTAGTTTCATTAATTCAATTGGACTCACTCACTTTATTGTCCCTTAACTTTTAGTTAGAATGAATTTTGAAAAAAGTTAAGGATGAATTTTGAAATAGAAGAGTAGAAGAAAAGATCTATTTGTTACACCATGTATCTCCATGAAGTATTGATGGTAATCAACAAAAAAGAGTTTGTCAACAAATTAGTGACAAATATAATGTTGTTATGGTCTTATAGTATATGTATTAAGTGATTATCAACAAAAATACCATGTTGTGTTACTTTACATGTTGACAATTTTTTCCTTTTAACAAACCCATGTATATGCTTAAATCTTACATACAAACATGTTATGTAAGATTCAATACATGTTAAACATGTCTCAAACCTAATTGTTACAAACAAAGAGTTAATAGATAACATGAAGAAATGCGCCTACACACATCTAAGAAAGGCAATATAAATAAGATTACATAGTGTATTTGAAAATGATATGTGTATGTAGAAAAAAAAACATATAAGGTATTTCTTGAGTCTATGATTCAATAGGGGTTGGTTTTGATAACAAGAATAATGGTATACAAGATCATATTCAAACCATGATGATTGTACATGACTATATATACCAAGTAAACAATATAATGTAAGGAAACACAAAAAACTTTTGATTAGTCAGAATAAATATAACCTATATTGATTTGTATTCTATGCAAATTGATTTGTTTAATGTCTAGATGTAATATAAGGAAATGAAATAGTTTGATTTTGTTCTCATTTTTATGTAAATGTAACGTATTCTAGACACATATAAAAACATTCTTAGTAACAATAGGTACATGTTCAACTTTGATGGTATATTTACTATTGGTTTCCTAACCAATTCTCAATGAATTTTCGTGATTCTTGAAACATTAGATTTCTATGTTAAGCTATTATCAAATGTGATGAAGAAATATAGTATTGGTTTTGAGTATTCTCCTAAAATTGCCAAAAACCACAATAACATCAATGAAAACCTTAATTTTGACCTTTGTTGATTCAAAGTCAAATTTCTCTCAAATGGCTAATCAAAATAATACGTGAAAATGCTCATTAGAAAGCTTAGATAATAACCTAGAAGATGAAAAAAATTTCATTGAAATCCATGAAGTTCATCTAAAAATATGGCCAAATCAATCAAGAGCAAAAGCACACCTAAAGCAAACAATACTCCAATTCCTCCCCAAAGTCTCTTCATCCATACCTATCATCACCTTAACCGTGGATAGTGGTAGATCCGACGGTCCATATTCAAACTTACAAAAGCGAGCGATCCGCGTGCTTGGTCTCTCAACCAATCAGCGCTCAGCTTTTGGATACCATCTCTCTCACACCGGACTATTTAAATCCCCTTATTTCATTTGATCGTCACAACGAGATTACCAGCCCTCCGGATTTCCAGATCCCGATTCTCGTCCTTCCTTCTTTGTTTTCTTACTTCTGTAAACATTAAATCTCGATATCGAATTCGATTGTCTCTCTAATGGCTACGGAGGAACCAACTGTAGCGGTTGAGCCGGCACCAGCGGCCGTCGAGGAGAAGCCCGCGGAGGAGAAACCTGCCTCCAAATCTAGCAAGAGCAAGAAGGCCAAAGAGCCCAAGGCTAAGAAGCCAGCAGCTGCAAAGAAGCCTCGATCACCTCCTTCTCATCCTCCCTATGAGGAGGTATTTTCTAAATTCTGTTGTAGATTAGAATTGGTTTAGTTCAATCGTTCCGGTGTTGTTTTGGATCTGATTTGGTTTGTTTGATTGATTGCAGATGATTAAGGATGCGATTGTAACTCTGAAGGACAAGACTGGTTCGAGTCAATATGCTATTACGAAGTTCATCGAGGAGAGGCAAAGGCATCTGCCGGCGAACTTTAAGAAGCTGCTGCTATTTCATTTGAAGAAGCTTGTTGCAGCTGGGAAGTTGGTTAAGGTCAAAAGCTCGTTTAAGCTTCCGTCGGCTAGGTCTTCTGTGGCTCCAAAGCCTGTGCCTGCTCCTGCTAAGAAGAAGCCGGTTGCTGCTGCTGCTAAATCTAAGTCAAAAGCTACCGGAAAGTCCAAGGATGCCAAGACAAAGCCCAAGACGGTGGCTAAAGCTCCTGCCAAGGCCAAGGCTCCTGCCAAGGCAAAGCCCAAGGCAGCCCCTGCCAAACCAAAGGCTGCTGCGAAAGCAAAGCCTGCTGCGGCAAAACCTAAAGCTACCGCAACTGGGAAGAAGACTGCTACGACCAAATCGAAGCCTGTTGCCAAACCCAAGCCCAAGGAAAAGCCGGCCAAGGCTGCCAGGACATCGGCGAGAACATCTCCCGGGAAGAGGATGGCGGCGGCTCCCAAGCCCAAGCCTGCTCCAAAAAAAGCTCCGGCTAAGACCGTAAAGCCCAAGAGCGTCAAGTCGCCCGCCAAAAAGGCGACGTCAAAGAGAGGAAAGAAATGAGATATAAGTGAGATAGGAAAGGTATAGTGTTTGTAGGGGTTAGGCTTGTAAATTCGGGTGAAGTAAAGTGGGTGTGTATGGATCATGTATGCCCATGAAAATATGACATCGGCTTCTAATCTTTTCTTCAATTCTTTTTAGCTTTTCTGAGTTTATTTTTTGTTCAAATTTTCCTTAGATGTAATTTCGGTTAATTGCAATTCTTATTAGATGTCTTCATCTTGGTTGTGTTCGAACTTGGAAGAATTTCTCTTCACCTCCAAATTTCTGGGGAAATTAATTGAATGAAATGCTATGAGTTGGGGATTTGTTTGTACTCAACTAGTGGCGGTGTCGTGAGTTACGGGGGAAGGGGAGGTGGAGACGCTACCGAGGTTGCGTGAGTTGATGAAGGTGCAGCAGGGCAGTGTGCCACGGGGTGGTTTCAAGTTTCAACTCCTCTGTAAATGGTGATTGGAGAATGGAAGGTACATATGATCAATCCAATTTTCATTGTTGCATTATTGCAATAGGAATGTTTCGCTGTTCTTGTGTTAGTTTGGAAGTTTTTACTTGATAATTGACTAACTTGAATTGATCATTAAATTATGAAATGATAAACCAGCAAACATTAACCAATTTCCGAGCAACTGATGTATCAGGAGTGAGCTATTGAAAGCTTATTTATGCACACCATTTTTCCTTGTCCTTGTCCATTGTAGAAGTTTCTGGATACTTAACCATTCAAAAACTCTTTTAGGTTACTTCGTGGAAAGAATTGGTGATTGGAAAATGTAGAACAAAACTCAAAGCATATGGCGATGTGATAGTACGGTGACTCTTTTTCTATTGACTATTGAACTAGTTGGAATTGAATTGAATCCACGTTTTAGTTTAAAATGGACCCTGGAAGTTGCTAAGCTGATACTTATTACATGTTTGTATTTGGAACGAGGTTTTAGTTCAAAATGAACTCCAAAATTGCTAATCTAGATTGATGTATAGAATTGATTCATAAAATTTTAATAGACAACTCCTGTGGGATTTACTGTTGTGAACTAATTTGAACATTTGCATACTTCTAAGCGGTGGATAGTCTTTTTACCATTAATGACTTTGTACTAATTCCTAATTATGTTAGACTTACAAAATATAAGAACCAATGTTGCAGATGGAAAGTCTCGTTCCTACTCTTGAATCTTGATGCTCGATTATAATTATTGGATTTGTGATTATTGATTACTCTGAAACTATCTTGACCTAAGGAATACTGGTCTGCTTGTTTCTGGTGATTGCATTGTCGAAAATGGTTTTATTTTCCTCAGACCTGTTGAAAATTTGCTAATTAAGGGGTGTGCTTTTATCAATTCCTGGTAATACATGCCAATATTTTATTTCCATTATGCATATTCTTAGCAGTTTATACATGTCCCTGAACTCTGTTGGACGCTGGCATACAATCTAAATCTAATTCTTGATACTAGTTTACATTTCCCTTTTAATTTCTTGTCTAACAGGCTTTACATTATTAGCTTCCAAACACTGGCTGGAAAGTTGAACTGACACTTCAGTGATTCACCTTTGGTATCATTTATTCAAGGTATAAGCTTACCTCAGATTTGAGATTATGTAGATATATTCATTTTCACAAAATCTATGCATGCTTCATTATTTTCTGTCTCTTTACATACTTTTAAGTTTTAACCTTAAAAAAAAAAAAGAAAAAAGAAAACTTAAGTTACCTTTGGTGATCTTGCATCTTTAGAAATTTTTACTTGTTTTTTATTGACCAGATTGTTAGAGAAAGTAGTGTTGTACTTGAAAATTCTTTTGTTTGTTTCATTTGTTTTGAAGAATATCATAAATATAGCATCAAATCTGCAGACTAGAAGTTTTTCTTTTAGTGGCAATGTATGAGTACCATTTCCTTTCTACTTCTGTATATGAGATGTGCCTTTGTGTTTGAGAGCTGTGAGAAAGAAATAAACACCGTCTGAAAGAAATGAATTCTAAACATGTGATGAGTATAAAATTGTTGTTATGACTGTTTAGCAAATCAATTGAAGATTTAAATGGTTGTATTTCAGTTTCTTGATCTGAACATAGTTACATAGCTAGTAAAGTAATTATGTATAAGAGAATTCCCATGTGATGAGTAAACAATCCTTGATCAAAAATGTAGCAGAGGTTTGAAAACTCGTTCAGCCTCCAACTTAGGTGATGCATCTACAAGTTTGAAACTTACCAACACCTTGGCCTGTTGACATCTTATTTTGATCTTTTGACTTTGTGGATAGAATACTTGAGCTCCTGTTGGACATTTAATCTTGAAGGTGACAATACAATGTCTTTCCAGATGGACCCAGCTTCACAAGCAGGGTTAGGGTGCTTGTAAAGTTCATATATGGACTCTGCATCTTCATTCAATCTGGCTACCCTCTTTAAACAGTCTATCTCATCTGGATCAACCAGCAAAGTCTTGTCTTTGTCCTTCCATCCTATCATCTACACAAAAATTATTATGTCACAACATCTCATATATGATGAAACAAATTCATCTACATGTTGAAACTTTCGCTACTTGTCTATGACTGAAAGCTTGAGCTATCTATGGTTGACTAGACATTTTCCTTCTTCATTCTGTGAATTTGACTTTAGGTCTCGGATGGAACTTGATTTCTTTCAGGCTCAATGTAGCCTTGCTGTTGTCACTTTTAACTCAACCTAGTTGTATTTTTGTACCAATTTTAGCCGAATTTGAAGACTCAGAAGCTTACAAAGTAATATTTGCACATAAGCATCTGCTTCACCTTGCAAGCAAGGTAGGATTTGAGTCAAGTATGGTAGAAAATTTTGACATAATCATGCTTTTCTTGAAAGCTTTAGCAGGGTTTGGCTTCACTAAAAGCTGGAAGGCCTCATGTGTAGAGAGCAAACTGTGCACATGCAAATAGCAGCATAGCAGCAATAGCATGAATCTCCAACCCAGTTGAGTTTGATTGAACAATTCATCTAGTTTACTTAAACTTAGTTACATCTGTTCAACCCTAGGTTTTAGTTAACAGTCTCTAAATGGAATTAAGAAGCCTGAGAAAATCAGAGAAAATGAGACCAGGGTTTGTTTTTGTAGCACCTTAGGGGGGCCTTCCAAAGCATTGGTGCAGTACAGCCGGGCATTGTCAACCAATTGAATATATGTTGGAAATGCGTTTGCAAATCTCTTGTGTGATTTCAGTTGTGAATTCACCCTTACTGCCCTTCTACACATTATGGCTCTCCTGTGATATTTAGCATCTCTCAATGTTATATATCAAAATCCCAGGAGAAGAAGGTTGCTTATAAGTTGAAAACTTAAGACATAAGATAATGAACTGCAATGATTCTGCAACATACCTTATGCCTCTAATAACAGCTAGGTAGGCATCACAAACGACCCCAACCAGCTCTATTCTGTATGGTTTTCTCTTTTTACCTTCTTCTTGCACTTGTTCTTCGTCAATTTTTTCCCAGTACTTCTCAGTTGTCTTCCCATCTTCTCCAACCTTGTAACCATCTCCCATCCGATATCGGTGACGATGGACATTTCTGGCCATAGTTATTGTCTGCACTACAAATGGTAACCAGGAGAGTGTGCCATCCATAATAACATCCCGCCCTTCATTGAGTGCTGTCACTAGGAGGGATGATGCTGCATCTGTAGATGATTGATGCACCTGTTTGATATATATATATATATATATATTGTTTATAGTTTTAGTCATAAAATTCTTTTAAAAAATAAAATCAGTGATAGCAGAAGTTATTATCAATGTTCGTGTGGGTTAGGGAGAGTATTACTAGCTCAGCCGTTTGGAGCATGTCATGATGACCTCTGGAGCTAAGGGCTTTGTAAATGACATCTGATTCCTTGAATGCATCAGCCTCAATCACCACTGCATTCCCTGCAGCTCCCGCCCAGAATGGTCTGTGTTTATTATTTCATCAAGAAAAGCAACATTGGTTTAGTTATTTCTTGAAATTGTTCATATTTTTTTTCCTCTCATAAGAACTAATTAGAAAAATCCCAGCATTATGCATTATCATCAAGGGAGGGGAAAACAAAAATCGTTTGAGTTCTCTACATTTGGAAGCTAAATTTGATAAATATATGGTATATATGATGACTCAAGATGGGACTAAAAGTAAAAGAAATATTCCCATATTATGATAGTAAATTTGATGTTCTGCAGATAACTGTGTCTATGGGATTTGTAGGTTCTTTGGTTGTTTCAAATTGGTGAATTAGCATTTGATTAACTGAATTTTGAATCATATGTGGCTTTTACAGGAAGCATGGTTATCAGTTGCAGAGAAGATTGGATGAGGTGAGCTCCTGACAGTATTAATATTATGAGATGATATTCTTGTATTGTAGGAGTAGAGTTCTCTCTTTTTTACATTACTCCTTTGCATTAGCTTTGCATATTTCAATATTCAACTCCATTCTAAAATTAAGCAAATCATAAATGACAATAAAATCACTCAGTTGGTCTTACTCTTTGAGAATGTCCTTAAGCACTGTGCTTTTTCCAGCTCCCATTCCACCACCCATGAGGAGGAGCACCGGACTTCTGTCACTGTGAGCGACTGGAGCCATCACCTCTGTACATTGAGAATCATCAACTGATGCAAGCCCCATTGCTTTCATTTCCTCCACCAAGGTATTAAAAACTCTTGCAACCTTAAGATTTTTGGTCACCCTCTCAAATCTCTGTTCCCTGAATTAGAAAACCAAAAAATTCAAAAAAATTTCATCTGCATAAATTAATTGGATTTAGAATACAAGAATCATGAATAATCCTAGTAATTTTCACCTAGTTGCTGCCATGACAATATGCTTAAGCTTCTTTTTAGGCTCAGCATCATGACTTAGCACCTGCAATCATGCAGTAAGAACACAAAGAAGGGGAAATAACTTCATAAACTGTTCATTTAGGAGATAGATGGGAAAAGTAGATCTTCTTCCTTCATAATCTTGATGGTAATTTCCTTTGACATATATCATATACGCAGATCTTGATTACCTGACTAATCATAAGATCAGCATGGCACCAATGGAATGCAAAATAACTAAGAATGCACCTCTCAAATTCCTCCACAAGCTTAACATATAGGGAGTCTACATCTGGCTCAGTCGAGAACAGTGCATATATATCATCCTCCCACCCTTCTGATTTTCTAATGTATTCAGCTGCTAATTTGCAGAGATGCGGACATTCTCTCCTGTCTGCAAATCCAATTTGCCTTGCTGCCATAGATACAGAGGAAAAAACGCATCAAGGGAAAGCAGGCAAGCAAGATGCACCATTTTTTTGAAGCTATGGACACATTCTTGCTTCAATCTAGTGATATCCATGAAAATTTCCATGATCAATCATGGATATGTAAAGCCTAAAACGTTAGAATTGAATTTTTATAACTATATTAAAATCAAAATCAATATTTTTCTTTTCATATCTATAGAAAATATTGGAATTTAGGAGACTGATTGTTAGATATGGACAGGTATTAGATCAAACAATTTACCTACATAATGAGGGAACCTCTCGATCTTCTCATCAATCTGGCCGCGGCCTTTGTTCAGTGACCGGAGGCGTGGGATGATCTTGTGATCCCTCAGCTTCCGGAGGTGATAATGCACTGCCGCAACAATGATCAGAGCAAGGGAAGAGGCTAGTAGGATCTTTAACAAGGTGGGTTGGGTGTCATGATCTGAAGAAAATGAGGAGGTCATGGATGGAACATTGCAGGGGTTTAATTTCCAATTCCATGGACGGAGTAAGAGTAAGACAGCCGCAGCAGGGACGACGATGATGAAGACCAGGCTGATGGGTCTGGTTCGCCGGAGCTTGTCTTTCTGCATGTCTGGGAATTGGATGAAGGCTGGTTTTGTTGGTGGTCCGATTTTCCGATGAGGAGGATAAACAGGTATGCCATTTGCCAGAGGCCTCGGTAGTTGCATGTTGATCGTTATATGGAATGGAGTTCGTTGGTGACACGTGGAAGGAGGTGATTTGTTCACAATCATGCAAGAGAAAATGTAAAATAAGATCAAGATCCTTAATTTTATGTATGGACTAAAATTACAAATTTGCATTTCAGGGATTTGCTTAATTCCATCAAAATTTGAGATTAAGGTGTTATGAATGGTACTCCCCTCTAAATTAATTCTCGGTTTTTAAATCAAAATAAAAAAAATAGTCACTTTATTTTTTATTTTTTATTAAAATTAAGGGTTTGAAAATAATAAATATATTTACTACTTATATTATTTTAGAAGAGAAAAAAGATAAATAAAGATTCTTGTGATGGAATGAACAATTAAAATAAATGAATATTGGTATGGTTTAAGTAAAAACATATTTGTTTACCTTATAAAATGAAAAAAATTTAAAGTAAAAATAATAGTTATTTTGAGATTGATGAAATAATTGTTAATTTTAAAAAAAAAATGTTATATAATTATAATGTTACTTATATTGTCATGTAATTAAATTTTTTTATTTAGAAATTTATTTATAATATTATATGTATTTACTTATTTAGTATAACATTATACTTCTCCTGCTCCTGACCTCCTTTATCGGCGACCCTCTGTTTTGATCGGAAGCCCTTGGGCTTTCGTGTTTTGATGCTTGAGCCGTTGGGCTCCCCGGTTGCTCAAGCATGGTGGAGCCCCTATGCTTTGTGCTCCGATGGCCCTCGAGGCCTGTCGGTTTTGTTGGCCCCTATGGTGGCTTTTGCTTTTTCAGTTTCTTTTTCTGTTTTTGGGTGGGTTTGCTTGGTTGTTTTGCTGTTTCTTGGTTGTGTTTGTACAGATCCGGCGGCCCTCCCCTCTTCTGGTTGATCTGTGACGGCGCTCGTGGGAGTTCCAGATTTGGCGTCCATCGCGGCCGGCTGCTGCATCCGGGTGATCGCCGCCGCCGCTTGGTTTCCCGCCCCGACATCCTGGAGCCTGGCGCAACTTCTCCAAGGGTAGATTGAAGGGTGTCCTGTTTGGATCGTTCGACCAAAGGCTATGGTCTCACCGGGTCCTTAGTGGTTGTTCGAGTGTCAAGTGCACCTCCCTTCGGCCTCTGTGTATGGGTTTGCTCTGATCCTTTCGTTCCAGATGTAATTTTATTGTTTATTATCTTTATAAATGCCGTTTGGCGGTCTTTGTAATGCAACAATCTCGTTATTTCTCAAAAAAAAAAAAAGTATAACATTATACTTATTTAATATTATAAATTATAATTATAAATTTATAATTTTATATGATATAAAATTATAGCATTGTAGTATTTTAATACGCATGTTGTGTGGATTTTTTAATCAAATAATTAATAAAATTAGTCAACTACGTTTATAAATTAGTGGTAAGAGCTTCAGTGGTGTGACACCTTGACTATTTCAAGTTTGACCACTAACATTTATACGTCACCCTCTTAATATATATATATATATATATATATTTTATGGACTACTCAGTATCTAAAAGTTCACTGGGTTATCAATTAATCTGATTCGAGTCAGATAAGATTTAATGTGTGACAAAACTGTCTCTCACAAGTTTTAACAGAACTGTATTTTCAGAATTTAAAACCAAGACTTTTGATTAAACTGAAATAATTTTCTGTCAACTCATCAATCCGTTCATGAGTATCTTTTTGATATTTAGTTGCATTGTAATTACTCTATTAAAAAAACTTATAAATTCTTAAT